AAATACCAAATTTGAAACCTTTCCACAGACAGAATTTTATGCTGATCGAGAATATATTATCTTTGTGGGTCTAAAATGTCTATTTCTAGGTATTAAAAACGGAATGACAAACTTAATATACCCTCCGTACTATGGTGGAGGGTATAAAAAATTGGGGAAAAACATCAGAATCCCGAAAAAGGGTGGTACCATTATATGGGGATATATTACAATATGGACCTATATTAACTGTTTTTTTTTTTTTGGAAGGTGGTTAAGAATCCGTAACAACCTTCAAATACCAAATTTCATACAATTTCATTAAAAGATGCGCAGATAATCGCCGAAAAGATTAAAAATAAGAGCCACAAATTTTCAGCACTTTATCTCAATTACTTCGGCAGATAGTGATTACAGCTGACGAATATGGATAAATCGGATATAATATTTTAAAAACTGTCTTCATTTTAGTATTTTTTACACACATCCGAAAGCCATCCAAAATGGTAGGCTATCAGTTTTTGGTCCATTTCATTCTGCGATAATCTCCAAAAACCATAGGATTATATATTATACTGCCAACAAGAACTTCGTAAAAACTGTTTTTTTCTAGCAGTATGCCCTAGAGAATAGCAAAAAATAACTTCAATTGCAATAATAATTTACCTCCACAATAGTACATTGTTGTAATGTAATAAATTAAACTAAACAAAATAGGTTTTTAGCACATTTGTCTATTTTGCTTTGTTTTCAATTTTAAAGTAGAAAAACGCTAATGAATATATATGAATATATGATGTTAGGAAAAAAAGCGGAATATCTGAATAATAACTTCAATTACAGTCAGGCTATGTGCTGGACATGATATGCCAGGCACACACACAAAAAGGAAAGGATACGTGAGAATATTCATATTACATAGAATGGATAACATAAAGTCCTTGACTTTTAGGATGATGAAAATGTAAACGATAAAGGATTTATATATTTTAAGACATACAAGAAATTTAAAATTATACTTATGACAAAGGAGTTTCGGATTCGGTCTAAACTTTACGCATCGTCGTAATACTTTTATAACACCTGGTACCGCCTATACAAACTATGAAAAATGTCCAGAATAAATCAAAGCACATACATAATAGGAGCGAGAATTAAAAATTAAGTGAAATATTTGTTCTTCGCCCTTTTTTAAACGGTTTTTCTAATATTCGATCTTGTGTGAATGTTAAACATATCAGTACTCTCTTTCTGGTAATTTTTTAATACCAGTCGCATTAAAATCGATTGAAATTTGCGGCTACGTCCAGACATTACACATCGTAATATTTGTATCAAATTGAAGGTTGGAAAATGGATGACATCGGTCCACTTCGCCTCATACCTACACCACAGAGGTCAAATATTTTGAATAATCTCATAACTTAAATTGTGGTAAAATAATTGCCAAGATAGGGTAGTGCAATCTCCTGAATACAATTTTTCTTTTGGTAGTGTTGCGATGTAAAAATAAATATACTGTGTTTATATGTATATGTATTGTCTTAAAAAATTAGCATATAATTTTGAAAATATTAAAATTATTAGGAACTTGATATTGTGAAAAATTCGTAGCGTTCCATTCATTTTTCGCGATTTACTTTATATTAAAATGTTGTAAAAAAAGTTGAAGTTGAAAATAATTTAATCTCTAAAATCTCTCCCCAATCTAAATCTGTCCCCAATCTGCATATCCGGAATAAGAACTGTTTAACAAATAATTAAGAACTAACAAACAAATCTCTAAACTTTGCACATTCCAAAATTTTTACCAAAATTAAATAGGGTTCGAAGTTGAAATACATAAATTTACTTCTTCTGGTACCTTCCTCACAACCAGCCTACATTTTGAAAAATCCTGAATGTCATATAAAATGAAAATATTTGTATTAAAGTTTTTAGAATTGGAGAACAAAGGACCAATTTGTCTGCTACATCTCGCACGAATTTTGTATAGTACAATTAAATCCCATATTTGATTCAATTTTCGTTCATATTAATATGATTTGTCAAAATTTGTCCAGGTGTGAAAATTTTCAAAGGCATACAGAAAAACAGTTTTAAGGGAGTCCTGGCCAAAAATTTTCAATTTTAAATATTTTTCTAAAAGATATATTTTTCAAAAAATTTCCCTTTAAAAAAAATTAAAGGCTTCCGGGCACTATTCTACTGAAAAAACAATATTTTTTAAGTGTTTTCATCAAAAAATGGCCGAAGCAGAAATTGTAGATTTTCTTAAGAAAATCTTTGTCTATTGCGTATCGGACCTAAATAAATACGATATAAATATGAGGTAACTTAGTAACTGGTTGGTAACTTCCTTTACCTTACATGACACATGTGATAATTTTTAGAAAATGTTAACATGTGCGTGAGGTACCAGGTATAGGCGACCAAAGTATTCCATTCCAAGGCTATAGAGGTGCGGGGCCGACCATGTGATACCCTACAACACTACAATTTGTTCGAAGTCCCCTTATGTCCAAATCCATTTTGGAAGATTTCGTTTCTGAGATAATATCAAAAATAATGCCCCTGTCCTTAACTTTCTCCTGATGCGAAATTCCGTGTCAATTAATTTTCAATTGTGGTCTATAGTGCGACTACTAAATTAGAAAAATTTTAATTTTTTAGTCCATCTGAACCCCTTAACATCTTAAGAACAATAGGCTTTAATTCTGACCCTAACCCAACCCAAATGCAAAATTTCGTGAGGATCGGACGATAATTGCGACATGCATGTAACACCTTCAAAAAGTGGTGTTGTGGGGTGTAAAAATTTAAAAAATGTACAATTCAAAATTTTAAGTCAAATTGAAAAAATCGCATGCTATAAAAATAAGACAAAAATTGAAAAAAATTGAACAAAAGATATTCACTTTTTTATTACTATATTCTTCAGCGATTTTCTTAGATTTTATCCGTTTCTGGTAGGAGATCATTCTGAATTGATGGGAATTGTGAAGATATATTATTTCACATATAGTACCTCTTTTGCTATATATCCGATTTCCTGGCTATCAGCATCACTTTAATGGTCGGAAGTGACCTTTTAATGCATTTGTGATTTTGCCAGCATTAAAAATATTCGCGGTTTGATGGTAAATTTGACTTTTATTTATCAGAAATGCCAGAAATGACCATCAGAATTGGAAGGATTCATGCTAACTTCCGTTTCGAGTAGCCTATAATTGTGACCTGTAGAGCAACTGCAAAATCAGGCAATTTTTCAGTTTTTGTCCATTATTAAATATTATGCGATCATCTCCAAACGAAATAGGGTTCTATTCTGACCTTAACCCCACATCCATTCTAAATTTCATGAAGATCGGGCCATAATTGCAACCTGTAAAGTGATTACAAATTAACATGGACAGACGGACAGATGGACAGACGGACGGACGGACATACATAGCTAGATCGACTCAGCTCGGCGAGATAGGAAGATCCCTATGTGGGAAACCAATATTTCGAGGTGTTACATAATTTTTGGCCCAATCAAACTTACACATAGTGTTGTAGGGTATAATTAAGCCCTACTTACTGATTTTTATGCTCTTCACCATAAAATGAACGGCATATTAAATTTTTCTTATTTCGTTTGAAATATAATCAGATGAAATATTCATCAGATCGCCATAAGTATATATCTTAAATATTAGCGAAAAATTCGATGTCGAACCAGGTCCCTCTCTCTGCCCATCTGCAGAAATTGCAATGAAGCTTACACAATTAACGATATAGTTTTGGAATTTTGCACGAGATTTGAAATTGAAAATAGAATATATCAGTCCAGTTTTATTTATAGATCCCATAAACGGATACATACCGATTTTCTGTTTCTGTTTCTGTTTCTGTTTCTGTTTTTTTTTTTTTTTTTTTTTTTTTTTTTGTGGCGTCTTCTGTGCCAATTTGTTACAAAACCGGCTATTATTTCACATTTCGAATTCTCAGAGAAAAATCGAACTCCTCGCAATATTGCCTTCATATTATCGGTGTTTTGGCGGCTTAGTTTTCTACTTCCAACCAAAACAGATGTAATTTGTTATTTCGGATCCTCGAAAAAAAATATTATATGCTTGACGTCTTTTTGGGTTAGACATCGCACAACGGTACATCCTGATTCCCGACATTTTAATTTAAAATCTGTTTTTTAATGCCGTTTTTACTTATTTAAAAATATTTTCAAAATTATAAATAGCTTGAAAATATTTTTTCAAATACTTTCTGGACCCGACTGTATGTAAAACACTTTTTCAGAAAATCGAATAAACAGATTCTACATTTTTAAAAATATTTTCAGAAAAATATAAATTATTTCCAAAAAAATTCTAACCAGAATATTATTAATCATAAACTACAAAAAATTTAAATTTTTTCTTATGTCTTATTTATTTATTTATTTTTTTTTTTTTTTTGAACTTTAAAAAAATATAATTTCTATCCTAAAATTTTTAAAATTTGTTGATAAAAAATCATGGTCTTTTTTCAAACCTAAAATCAATTTTTAAGCAAAAAATACTGACTTCAGTATCGGATCACTGTATCCGCTGAAATAAATTGTTGTAACAAAACAACAAAAAATCCACAGCATTGAAACTTAAAATTTTACTTAAAAATAATTTCAGAAGGTTCTTAAACTTCTCAATATTTTTCCATCTCCTAATATATTTAATCTATAGAAAATATAAAAAATGCAAACAAATCTGAAAATTTTTATTAAATCAGTTTTATCTATATAACCATCATCATGCCATTCATAAAATTGGCCTCACACTTTCAATCACTCAACATAATCCCGTTTTTAATTAACATTGCATTCAGAAAAATAATTAATTTTAAACCATTTACATTACAAAAGGATACCACCGGCAAACACCTGCTGCAACAACGGTGTGAATGTGTGTGGCAAAACATAAACCAGGATAAAATCCCAAGAGGGAGAGAAATTAAAAAAAAAATATATCTGCAAAAAAACTAACCTGTTGTAAGGCACACCATGGCAGCCAAGAGCAGGGCAATGATATATCCATGAGATGATGACATCTTATTTTATTAAAAATGGTTTTATACAAATTTCTTTAAAAAAAATCACTTTTTATTTTAATTTATTTAAATTTTATTGCTTGCACAACACTTGCAGTAGTTATTGCACTTTATCTATTTTCTCAAATTCCAATTTCAATTAGGGGTTTTCGTTTTTTTTTTCCTTTTATTGCAAAACCAGTGGTGGTGGTCGTTAGTTAAAGCGCGCCAATTTAAAATAATCGTTTTCTTTTCGAATTACACTTTTTTTATTGCTCGAAGAAAATAAGTGGATTTTTCTTTGCTTCTTCTATTTTTCTTTTGGAATTTTTATGACATGAGAATTCCTTTTTTTTTTTTGCTTCTATTTTGCACTTCCTCTTTAGTTGGGTTCCCTTTTGTTGGTGGCAGAAGACCAATTTTTTCTCAACGAAATCAACGCTTCGACAACTAAACGTAAACTAAAATGAAACTACAAACGATGAAAATGAAAATCCCCCTGAATCCAACTCACATATACGCACACAAACACACACAGACACTCATGCACTCGCAACCAGTGGAGGAACAAAACCGAAACCATGCGAACCGATTGTCCGACCGATGAATGGAATCGAATTGAATTCACAACGAAAATAAAAAGTTTGAAGCTAAGTCGCTCGTCGAATGACACTCATACGACGCCCGACCACCATTCAGCTAGTCAATCGCAGTCACGCATACATTGCCAATATTACTCACACATGCTCATATATTTACTAATAGTGTATGAGCAGACTAGCCACTAAGTCATTCACTCTCATTGGAGCATGCATGCGAGCGACCTGTAAATGGATCGCCAAAATTACTTTGGCGTATTAGCGAAATGAACAAAATTCAATTATATTCAGTGGAAATTTAAATTCACATTTGAATTGAATATTAGGAGTTGCAATTTCCGATTTGGTCCTTCGAATCGAAATTTTCAAGAGATTCTCTCATTGCACTCTGATATTGGAAAATTCTATTAATACATGTGAAGAGGCTTTTTTTGGCTTTAATGTGACTCGGAAGTAATCGGGCTCGAAAATGTTCAGAATGCTGCAGGCTCGGAGAAAATCGGCAGATTTTTTATTAACTCAGGTGAATATTTCTTGACTTCAAAATCTGACGACAATTTGTTGAAGAGATCTCTGCTCGAACATATTTCGATCTCCGCTCAAACATATTTTGACTGTTTTTTTTTTTTTTTTTTTTTTGGCTCTAATGTGACTCGGAAGTAAACGGGATCGAAAATGTTCGCATTACTGGTGGCTCGGAGAATATCGGCATATTTTATATCGGCTCAGGACAATATTTTTTGGTTTCAAAATCTGACGCCAATTTGTTGAATTGTTCTCTGCTCGAACATATTTCGATCTCTGCTCGAATATATTTTGACTGCTGTTGGCTCAGAGGTTATCTGTGAATAGGTCGATTGCTCGCCATTCTGGTAGTTTTTGGTATTAATCAATTGTTTTTAGTTTAGAATTAATCAGGTTGTAGTCGGTTAGGAAGTAATGGGATTATTTACCTAAGATATAATCGGGTGTTTTGCTCTCGGATCAATTGCTCTTGGCTTGGAAGTGTTCGGGTTTTTGTCGTTCCGTCGTAATCAGGTAATTTGTTATATTTTTTGTTTTTGGCTCAGATGAATTGTTTTTATATTGGAAGCAATCAGGCTGTAGTCTTCTAGTTAGTGATCGGGTTAATCTGCTTGGATATAATCGGGTGTATTACCTTTGCCTCGAATATCGAATCGAATAATTCGCGGTTCGTTTTTTTGTTGGTTCCGTCGTAATTAGGAAATTTGTTATCTTTTTTTTTTGCTCAGATGAATTGTTTTTATATTGGAGGCAATCAGGCTGTAGTCGGCTATGTAGTAATCGGGCTAATCAGCTTGGATATAATCGGATGTATTGCCTTTGGCTCGAATACATTCGCTTGAATTACTCTTGGCTTGGAAGTGCTCGGATTGTTGTCAGTTGTTTGTCTTATTTCAGCTCAAAAGTATTCGGATAAATTTTCCTCGCCTCAAATGTTGTTACCGGCTCAGAAGAAATGAAAAGAACTGATTTCGGGTCGAATCTAACTAAGGCATTTGCTCTAGGCTCGATAGTAATCTGGTAAATTGACTAAAATGTACTCGGAAGAATTGCTCTTGTCTCGAATATATTCAGGTGAATTGTTCTCTCCTCGATAGTGTTTGCTTCCGTTCCCAGGGGATGTATTTCTTGATGCGTGAAAGTCTCCAGTTTATTGTGGGCTCGAAAGTAAAGTAAAGTATTAATTTCTTTGAATGAATTGTTCTAAGTCCGAAAATATTGTCGAATCCAAGGTAATCTGGTGAAATATTTTCTGCTCGAAAGCGGATTACAATCCGCTCGCATCGAAAATAACAGGGAAATGGTTTGATACTGGCTCAAAAATATCTGGGTTGCCGTCGACTCGGTCATAATCCGGTTAATAAATCTGACATAAGTAAAATAAACCGAGGACTGCAAGGAGCCATTGAGACCGCACTGAATACATATTCACAAACTATAAGGTATTTCCGAGCTCTATAAGATATCTAGTACCAAATATCATTGTAATATGCATATTACGGATATGAGGGACTTAACACCAAATCGGATGAAACATGTATATGGGAGCTTTAGCTATATCTGAATCGATTTTTTCCGAATTTAATGTACACGCCAGGTCATTTGGATTGATATTGGTCATTTGGTGCACAATTAACCCGAAATAGGTTGGGGATATATATTGGACCTATACCCAAATCTAAAGCGATCTTGACAAAATTTGATACACTTATTTTGGAGCTGTATCTGATATTTGGTACCAAAGATCATTATTGTGGAATGCATATTACGCTTGTGAGGGACTTTAAGCCCCAAACACGATAAAACATATATATGGGAGCTATAGCTATATCTGAACCGATTTTCCAAATTTGATTTACTCGCTTCTAGACTGAAATCGGTGGGATGTACCAAAATACAGGTTATTTGGACTTATATTAGCCATTAGGTGCTCAATTTACCCGAAATCGGTTGGAGATATATGGGAGCTATATCTAAATCTTTTCCGATTATCACTAATTTCAATAGAATTCGTCCTTCACAAGAATGCATGGACGGACGGGCGAACGGACGGACTGACATGCATAAATCGATTCAAAAAGTGATTCTATGAAGATCCTCAAAAGTAACTATGGGTCTATTTCGCTTCTTTCTTCCTGTTACAAACAAATGCACAATACCCTTACCACTATGTGGTATAGGGTATATACAACGAATTCTTAACATACACTGGCAACATTTAACTCCAGTTGATGTGGGTTCATCGTAACAAATGTCACCCACTCCCTAAATAAAATCCAAACTCCATTTAATGTCAGCACAATGTTTGTGTGTTTATGCGAGCATTATAAAGTTGTTTTCTATTTTCGTTTTAGTTTTCTATCGCCTAACTTTTGGGAATATTGTAAAGAAAACAAAGAAACCCCCAAAAAAATTGCTTTTGATAAAAATATTTAAGTTTCTTATCATTGTTAGGGCATCAGTCGCCGTCACAAATGTGTTAATAGCTCCATGTATTGGGTTTCCTTTTATTTCCCTTTGGAAGCAAACAATTTTTTTACTTTCCCCAATAATTAAGGAGAGTCAACAATTACTTTGCAGATTTTACACATACAACACGCAAGCCACAATTTAATTGATGGACAGTTTTATGTTAAGGGAAAAAAGGGAGAAGAGGGTTTGGTATTAGTATGTTTTATGCGGGGGCAAAGTTAGGTCCACATATCAGAAATCCTGAAAATAATATTATATGATGTTCGATTTTTTCTTTGAATTCTATGAGATTCAGGAAATGTTGGCAATTCCAATGGGTCACATAATTGGGAAAAGTTTTGTATTTATTATTTAAAAAAATTTAAATTGCAAATATATTTGAAATATTAAAAATATGGAATTGGACATAAAAAACGTTTTCAAAACATTCAAAAGTCGGGCGGTGCAGACTATATGATACCCTATAACACTATGCATATTTAGTAGAGCTACCCATAAAATTTAATCGTTTATATTGGAAATAACAGTAAAGTTGAATGGAAATATATATGGAATCTATATCCAAATCAGAACCCATCTCAATAGAATTTGGCAGATGTATTTCTGAGCTGTATGGGACTTAAACCCCAAATCAGATGAATCAGATGTATATGGGAGCTATAACTCCCGTATGATATTTGAACCGATTTTCATCAAATTTGAAGTACTTTCTTCTAGGCAGATTTCGATCGGACGTGAGTTATGTATAGGGTTCAACCCTGGGACAAATAATGATTTGTGGAAATTTGCATCTCACTGAGACAATAAATGCAAGCAAAAAATGCAAAAAAATATGGACAAACGGACGGACATGCATAAATTAAGTCAGGATATGATTCTATGAAGATCATTAAAAGAAATAGAATAGAAACTTGCGAATCTGTGCTGTGACAGTGGTTTTTAAACTCAAACTTCAGTTTGATTACTCACCCGATGCCGAGGGTAATTTTAGAAATCACGATTACCTAGCGTCCTTTTATCCACATTTGAACTTCAAACTTCTATGTTGTACTCTAAGTATAATTTGAGCTTAAGTTGGAACTCAATGTAAGATTACAGCCTTAACACATTTTTATACCCCTCAACACACAATGGAGGGTATATTAACTTTGTCATTCCGTTTGTAACTCCTCGAAATACTGATGTCAGACCCAACAAAGTACATATATTCTTGATCAGCGTAAAATTCTAAGTTGATTTAGCAATTCATCTGTCTGTCTGTTGTAATCACGCTATCTTTCGAACGAATTGAGATAAGTTCGTAAATGGTCCATGTAGGTCCACGTTTTTATATAGCCCCCATATAACGATACCTCCCTATATTCGGAATTTTGATGATTTTAGCGACATTATTCACCGGAATTGGTTCTAATTTGGTTCTTGAAGTTCTTAATGGATACTACAGCCTATGACAGAAAATTGTATGTGCAGGTCCACGTCTTCGTGTAGCCCCCATACAACGGTACCTCCCAGTGTTCGGTATTTTGATGATTTTAGCGTCATTATTCGCCGGAGTGGTTTCAAACTACATATTTAGAGTTCGTAATGGGAACTACAATCTGTGACAGAAAATTGTCTATGCAGGTCCAGGTCATCGTATAGTCCCCATACCTCCCTGTATTCGTTATTTTGACGATTTTAGGTACAATACTCACCGTTTATTTCACGTCTCGAATTTGAATATGGTAATGGCTTATGACAATCAATGCTTATGTAGGTCAACGTCGTATAGACGCCAATATAACGGCTAGATTCGGTATTTTTAAGATTTTAACAGAATTTTTAACGGATTTTATTTTTTGAAAATTTCCAAAATCGTTCCAAATGGCGGCCCGGCCGAACTTACTGCTTTCTAACTTGTTATGCCCTCACTATATATCCTTGATATGGCCAAATCGTGCCTCATCGAAATAACCATTTGGACCAAAAACCGTTTTAGGACACTTGGAGTCGATCTAGATGTGTC